TAGAAAAGAGAGGTGGAGGTGGTGGTGCAGCCCCAGAGCCTCCCAGCAAGAGAGCGCATGCGGAACACAGGCCATGGCCGATGCAGCACAGGAGCGATGCAAAACACGTATCTGAGGGGCAAAATGCAGGAGGTACAGCATGATGCTGCGTTTAGTTTGTTGTGATATCTCCATGGAGGTACTCGGTGCCCACTGGGACATCAGATGGAGATGGCCAGGAGCTGCTGAGCTGCCGTTTCTGGGTGTGTGGGTCACGGTGCTGCTGGTGAGCCATGGCAGGGAGCGTGCTGAGGACTGGCCTCCGGAGAGCTGGCGGGGGGAACTGGTCTGTGAAGGAGGACCCTTGGCTAAGACATTCTACATGTGGCTGGACATCCTATGGGCTGTCTCTTGGGCTGCTGTGGGAGGCTGCATGGAGGGCATACGGATAGGGGATGGATGACCCACGTGCTGCTCGAGAACAAACCCCGTGGCAGAAAGTGACTTCCTGAAACTCATTTATTTACATGGAAATGAGCAACAGAACAGAAAGATGTGGTGTAAAATACCAGAGCATATTTGTTTTAGTAGCATCCCACTCAAGTGCTCTTTTTAAAGGACTTGATTAGTATTCAGAATCAAGAATTTAAAAAAAATCTATTATCGAGACCTTTTTTAGCAACATTAGAGATAATGGGTGAAGCTCATTCCTGGTGTTACTCCTTTGGAATTACACCAGGGCTGGATTTGACCCCACAGATGCTAATGCAGGAAGACAGAAAAATGAAGGCAAATTGCTAATGTGTTAAACAGACCCTGATTGATTGAAAAAAAAGATTTTTTTTCTCCTTTATTAGTGGCAAAATGGTGACACCATTCCTTGCTGAAAATCAAGCGCTTTAGTGCATTACCATGAATGAAAAGGAACTTATTTAGAGAAGCAGCTAGAGTAAAATGCTGCTGAGGAAAACCACGCAAGGCTGTCCAAATTAAACCGGTTCAAACCCTGACTGCCTAGGTTTGTGGGGATAGCGCAGGCCAGGGATTGGGTTCACCATCCTGTGGAATAAATGTGGCCAGTGATCCCCTGTCGGGGAGCAGAGGAGGCCCCGGACACCAAGAGGTCCCCCCCGAGGGGTGCCTGGCACCAGCCCTTACCTTCTGCAGCCCCCGCAGGAGGAAACGATACAACTTGCATTGCATCAGAAGCGTTTCTTCATGAAACACAGTTAAAACCTACTAGTTCAAAATGCATTTCGGCCGAAATCCGTGGGGCGTTAGTCAGAAACCAGAGGAGAGGTTTATGTACAAAAACCACGGAGCCTACGTGATTTACCACTTCTGCTTCAGCTTCAACATCCTATTCCCTGTAAAATGCCTCTGCCGCACTGCTAGGGACAGGCAAATAAATGCAATTAAAAACAACGAGGGTGGCATTTTTTTCACCTACCTGTAGCCATTTACAGTGAAGGTGTCCGGGTCTGAAGCAGTTGCCCAGCTCCTCTGTGAGACCGGTCCTGAGCACCCGAAACTTCAGGCTGGCCCACCCTGACAGTCTCTTTCTTCTTGCTGTTTTGAAGGAGCTTGGACAAACTCTTCAGAAATCCCCCCAGGAGCTCAGGGCTTTATTTTTTTTTCTGTGTCTTGCCACTGACTTGCTGCGTAGCTTTGGGCAAGTTACTTAACCTTGCTAAGTCTTTGTTATTTCCCCTGTAAAGTGGGGTTAATAATGGCTATCTGTCACCCTTTGCTTTGAGATCCTTGGATGAAAAGTGTTGCAGAAGCAGTAGATATTAATGGTATCCTTTTCATTCTTTTTCATTAGCTTGTGGCCTTTTGACACCCAGAAGAAGAAACGATGTATTTCTCCTTGAAAAATCTGCTCTTAGATTATTTCCACTGTGATCAAAAGTAGAGAGTATCAGAGTTAGCACAGGCAAGCTCCCTTTCAGCCCCATTTTGCAGACTCAGGCAGTTAAGAAAGTTACAGAAACGCTCATCAGAAATTATTATCCAGGCTGTTTATTATTTCTGCGGAAAGTTATTTTAAATCACTATATATGTATGGATGTACATAAAATCGGGATTTTTTAAAAACATTTTAAAAAAAAAAATCTGTTTCTCAAGCAGCTCAAGGCAGCAACCATGGCTCCAGCTGTCATTTATTTTATTGCAAAAATTGTCTCAAAAGATCTGCCACGGGCAGAACCCCCAGCCCAGCAGCTCTGATGCTTCTCCCTGCTCAGGCCCTTTTGGGTCACATCTCCCCAGGTGCTTCCCCAGGCCAGAGGGTCCCTGAGCTTTACCCAAGGGGTAGCCATGCCTTGTTGCCTTTTGGCCGCACCATTCAAGCGCTGGCTTCTCTGGTGTGGGGCTTTGTAGTGCAAAATACAGACAGACTTTTAACTGAAAAAGCAATTTAATTATTCTTCATTTACCTGGGGTCAGAAATATTTATGTCTCTTTAAGTTTTCATACTTTTTTTTTTGAAGAACCTTTAGAAAAATTTAAGCCAAAGAAGCCTTCACCAAAGGAAGCAAATCCTTTGCTTTGAGCAGCTCGGAGACAAGGGTAGGTGAGACAAATGAAGATCCCACCATGACTGGAAAACCCAGCTGTGAGGGACAATTTGCAGGAGATGAGGGGCAAGAGCAAGCATGTTGCTGGCGGCATCAGGGAACGGTGCGGGACGACCCATCCATACGACAGGGCTAGCAGAGGAGTTTGGCTGGTTTTCATGCTTCAAAAATCTTCCGATGCTTAGTTCAACGT